TCTCTCTTGTGTGGATATTAGACATGCTGTGGATATGTGGGCGCTGATGGGTTTGACATTTGGATACATCAGTGAGCTTCTGCTGGCATGACTGCGGAGACACGAAGGAATGTGTCTCTGCGGGGGGGCGAGCACCAGGGAGCTGCCACACTGCTGATTAAACATAATATTGGCTCAAAGAGAATGAAAAGATACATCCGAAGAAAGAGCAGGGAAATCAATGTGTCAGCCTTCAATAGTAACGTGTTCATGTTCTCCATGGCAACCAATGGGCGGTGAAGGGTTGAGGGCAGATGCCTATTTTTGTAAAGTGAATGAAAATAAGTCGTTGGGTAATTATGAACTATGAAGTGCTTCACTTTACATCTAGACATGTTTACAGTGAAATCCATTCATTGGTCGTCATAGATACTGTATGATGATGATGTTGATGTCCCTATTCTGCTTTTTGCTATTATATGTGTCTGTGTCCATTCAAACATAGCAAACATTTACTAAAAACAGCTCGACAGTAACGTTTGCCAGATTATCATCGACAACCAATCTGAGAAATTAGCAAGCCATTCTTGGCCGTTGGTTGCCATGGCATGCTGATCTGATCAATCTCTGTGCAGCTGATGAGTTTATGGCAAAGAAAAAGGAAAAATAAACTAAATTAAATTATACAAACCAAATTAAAATCACTTAATTAAAGACTGGTGTAGAGTGGGTTTGGGATGCATTTAAAATGTGTGCCTCTGTGTAAGGTCAACATAATGACAGGCAGTAGGGTGTAGGAGTATTAATATCATTTATCTACCTCCCTTACAAAGTGTCTCACCATTTCTGCTCAAATAATTGCATGGACCTACATGGTATTATTTTTTTTTATTTTTTTTATTATTTTTCTTTTATAGTCTGGGAGACATTTACTTTAATTCACACATTTGTTCATGATGGACACTGACATCCATTTCTTTAGTTTGGTAAGTAAAAAGCACTCTCGAGCTCTTAGGTAGAAAATCAGCCCACTGCTCTGTCAAAGGTGGCCTTCAGAGAGAGAATAAAAAGTCTTCCCCAAAGCTGACTTAATAGAAAACATGAAAGCCAGTCTGTTTCAGCACGCTGGTTTAGAACTTACTCTTTTGTTCTTCAGTACTTGAAGTGTATAAAGTCAGAGCTTAATAGTTTACAGCAGAACATTTGTTACAATCAGAAGAATTGTTCTCCTCTTGTGTATTTGTACTTCACCTTTGAACTGTCTTTTAAACTGCTGTACAAAGACTATCATGTTTCATATCAGTGGAAGTAGTCCCATCATGTTGCCAATTGGTTGGTAAGATACAGCCTTAAAGCCGAGTCCGGCCCTTTTGCTGTCCATCTTTGTTTTTGGTCCAGTCCAACTAAAATGTCCTTCAATAATAATAATTGAGGTCAAGCAGCCAAGTGAACCCAGGCATTATGGCATAACTATAAGGAGTCCTAGCTCGATCTTTATAAAGGCTCTGATGTTCTCATTCTGTGGTGAAACAACATTTGATTCTCTGCCTTGCATATTAAAGATATTAATATGTAGAGTTTGCTACCCTGTCCATGTTGTGTGTCCTGTAAGTTTTCCCTAATGTAATATAAAATTGACCATATTTATCACACACAATGATGTTTGGCTCTGCATTTTATAATAACAATAATAATAATAAACACGTAGCAAATTGTCGTTTGCATATACAAAATACATAATGGAAAATGATTTCTTTACTTTTGTTTTCCTTTGGGATTAAAACCTTTTCCCTTCCTCTTTATCACATAAACCATCTATTATTATAGAAACATGTGATGACTAATAAAAAAGAACACTGGAACAAAACAGATCATTGACAGAATGATTAAAATGTCCAAACATAAGATTTACTGTCCTCTGTACTTGACAAAAACTTTCAAAATACTAATGCTTAAAAATACAGAAAGCTAACCATAGCTCAGATGTTGGTTCTTCGCCTACGGAACATGCTGTCCGTATGTGGCTCAGACCTCTCTGAATGTGGTCTCAGTGCTGGGACCACAATGTTGGCTGCAGTCACACAATCACTATGAGCTCACTGGATAACAAAGATCTGCACAGAATTACAGAGACATGTAAAGATATTACAAGGACAATAAAAAGACATCAAACTGCTCTGCATTCTGTTCTATTTATGGCTCTGTCACACATAAGCTTCCTTACAAGACATTTCTTTTAGAATTTTGACAGGGACACAATAATAAATATTTACAGTAGTGCTTTCAGAGGGCTCTGCCGCAGATGGGAACTATGCAGCAACATAGTAGGAATTAACTTGTGATTTTATGTGATTGTTCTTCCCCCTATTTATTTCCACTCCTGGCCACAAATGTCCGAGTGGCCTCAGTTGATGTATTGGAATGGAGTGCAAAGTGTGTGGGTGTGCACTTTCAGTGCTGAGCATCAGCAGTTGTGTGCTGAGAGTGCGCTCTCCTTAATTATGATTTGTCTCCTTTCAAAAGAACACTGGCTTTCTCGCTCATCTCATATTTTAACTGTGTGTTGAACAACGTGTGGTCAATGAGATTCTACTTTGTCATTGACTGCTGCTGTGCATTCATTAGGGAAACCTGGAGGCACCACCAGTCATCCTGCCACGTGTTTTCTTTTATCCTTATGATGACATCATCCAAGTAAGCAGCAGCATATGCAGAGTGGGGACGCAGGACCGGGTCTATGAGCCGCTGGAAGGTGGTGGAGCCCCGAACAACCCAAAAGGAAGTGTGACAAATTGGTACAAACCGTACGGAGAACGCCAGTTTTCCCTTACCCCTAGATTCCACCGGGTCCGTCTGCGGCGCGTTACGGCCACGTTACGGCTGCGCCGCGGCGCTCACGGTCACTCTAGTCAATGGGTGCTATTCCACCACACGCGGCGCGTTACGGCTCAGAAAGCGTCCCAGAATCGTGTCGGCGCAGGGCTCCTCTAAAATTAGGATGAATCCTATTTTTGACGCGGCGCAGCCGTAACGTAATGTCGGGCAGGCAGGAAGTGGGAACGTTCAGAGCATATATATAGCATATATATATATATATACACACACACAAACTAATTTTGCAGACCCTATCCCTCCGTAGTCTTTCAAGAAGGAGGAGAAATGCCAGCGTTTACAGGCAATGTGTAAATTATATATATAGAATAATTATGATTGATTGCATTTTTTTACCACTAAAATACAGCAACACATCTTTGATTCATGTCGTTTATAACTGGAATATTACAGTTATTATTAACTTTGTCTGTACAAAGTAGCCTGTCCAGGAAATATGCCCAAATCAACAAAAAACTGCGAGCCGGCAGGCAAGACGCTCCGCTTCTGAAATGCTTCTGAAACGCGCCTGGTAGGGTATGATGCCGGAGGAGGCCGGACCAAAACCGCGGCGCAGACGGACCCGGTGGAATCTAGGGGTTAGACTCTGGAGAAACGGGAATCTGCCAATAGCTATTGGCAAAAGCGAGCTGTGCCAAGCCGATCCTGAAGTTCGTCGACCGGGGGCATTGGATAAGCATCAAAGACACCCTGTTTACCCTGCGGTAGTCCACACAGAACCGGATTGACCTGCTGGACTTATGTACCAGCATGACGGGGCAACACCAGTTACTCCCATCTCTAGCATGAAGACGTCGAGGGGGGAACGGAGGGTCCGAGTACTAAAACCAGCCTTGACTCTATGCTTTTCCCCCTAAAATAAATGTCCATGGTCACCTCCGGATTCTCGTGAATATCCCCATGAACATACCTCACCTTCACCCAAGATGCTTCAACCAATGCCCCCGGCCGAACCAAGCGCTGATGGGTCATCGTCTGATTACAGCCTGTGTCCATCAGAGCCCCTGTGTACCCCCCTGTATACATACCGGTATACGGTGTAGGAGTCGGGAGGGCTGATCATTTATTCTGGCAAATTACTCAGACCTCCTAATTGACCTAACAGAAGTTATTGAGTCTATGTAAGTTTACTGCTTGGCTCAGATCCCACCAACGTCAGGCAAGATCTCACCTCTATTAACTCCTAAAGAACCAGGTTCAATTAACTGCTGTTTCAATTCAGACGACCCGCTAAATCTGTTTAAGCGATCCCGAAGGATTATGATATCAATAATGAGGTGTGGCCCTACCTAAGTGTGAGTGTGGCAGTGGGCAATCTTACCTTTTAAGCAGGAGAGGAGAGCGCAGATGTCTTTTAAGTTGTCCCAATCCAAAAGGTGGGATCAGTTTATTTATTAGAAGAATTGGTCCACACTTATACATGGTTTCTACCTTCTCTCGTTACAACATGACAATCCTACAAAACATATGTGACCCGCTCTATCGAAATCAGTCGGAAGTCGCAACGGCTCATTTAGAAATAAACGTGGATTTGTATCGTTTTTTTTGGGGTTCGGGTGTTTTGTTTGATTTTACATAAACAAAGTCTAGGCTTTCAGAATATGAAACTTTTATTGTCAAAATCACACGATAAATACATTTGTGAAGCTTGTAAAGGGAAGATGACAGCTCTCACTCGCCACTCTGCTGTTCCGTTGCGCTGCTCCCCCTCCCTCCGGCTGACATTATGAATGAAAGGTGTATAGTAATCATAGATAACACGGCAGGGTCCCGTGACAGTTTGTTTTCATCTGATTTCAAAGAAACAAAGTCTTGGCTTTCAGAATAGTAAACTCGTTTCGCCAAATTCAGATGATAAATATAACTTTGAAGCTTGTAACGGGAAGATGACAGGCGGAGAATGGAGTAACGTAACGCCACAGCTGACATAACAACAGCCGCTGTTTCTTGTCAGTGTTTACCCGGGAAACAAACACAATACACACAAACGCAAAAATACACAAACACACACACACACACTATATAAACCAACATTATTCCTCGCGACCTTCCCCCAGTAATCCGAAACAAACATATTTTTCCTCCGTACCACTTGATAATTTATTAGCCGCTAACAATTAATCAGATCGATGGATTCCAGAGAAGAAGAAATTGCAAGACTGTTGAACTCCAACATTGTGAGAGGGACAGCCTCTGATGAGCAATGGGTTCAGCTGATCACAGATTACTTTCTGACGGCACCGGTTGAAATTGCCCCATTATCCGGCTCCAATTCAGAGTCAGACAGCCCTGACACTGACAGCAGCCCTCAGACCACAGATGCTGAAGATGAGGAAGACACCACCGAGGACGGACCACTTGTTAGCGACCCGGTGGCTGAGACCCTTCAGACAGCGGCAGGGTATTATGTGAGCGAGGACAGCGCCAACGAAACTGAAAAAGCCTGTGCGTAGCTGCACTTTAATAATGGTGTTCCCTGTTACACTCGTTTCACACCCGAGGAGATGGTCAAGACACGAGATCAGATGTATGGATGACAAGTGGTAAGTAACGTGATTTATTTAAATGCCTTTGACTGGGGAGGGGCTGGGGGCGAGAGAGATATAGAGGGAGAGAGAGAGGAGAGAGAGGGAGAGATATATTCAGATATTAAATTTTAGAATATAGCCTATCTTATATTATTAAATATATTCAATTAATTGAATTGAAAATGTATATAGAGGGAGAGAGAGAGAGAGG